GAAGCAACTCTGAATTCATACAACCTGTTGTGTGCAGTCATCCATGATGCACAAATGTCAGCGCTTTCTATTTTAGGGACCATTAAGATATTTTGCCTCAGACATTATTTTCTTGACTAGGAAAAAAAATGTCCTCCTAGCTGCAACTTACAGCAAAACATGAAGAAATTATGCATAACTATTACAACATTTAACAACAATACACACACATTTATATTATATATATATATATATATATATATATATATATATATCATGGTTTCCGGTATATTCATTCTTCCATGGCTTAGTCCCTTTATTAATCTGGGGTCGCCACAGCAGAATGAACCGCCAACTTATCCAGCATATGTTTTACTCAGCGAATGTCCATCCAGCTAAAACCCATCACTGGGAAATATCCTTACACACTCATTCACACACATACATTACGGACACTTACCCAATTCCCCTATAGCCCTTGTGTTTGGACTGTGTGGGAAACCGGAGCACCCAGAGGAAACCCATGCCAACACCGACAGAACATGCAAACTCCACACAGAAAGCCAACTGACCAGGCAAAAGCTCGAACCAGAAACCTTCTTGCTTCATGCTATTCACTGCACCACCGTGACACCTGTTACAATAATATAAATGGTAAATTTGCATTGAATAAAAAAGCTTTTGCAACACACAGCTACTTTTATTCTGACACAGGTACACATTGCATTACTAAAAGTTCCAAATAAAACTTTCAATTATGCATTTGTAATCTTGTAACTAGTCGAAAGTGCATTACCTGACATTAATAAATGCTTTGCAAGTATTTTTCAGCTAGTTCATACTAATCCAGTCGACTCATGTTATCAAAGAAACATAAATGTCCTGTTTTGTGCAAAATATATTCACAAGTTAGTCTCCTTTCAGGCTGAAATGATGTAACCTGGACGTGTTTTCATGAGATTTAACAATACAGTCTATAGAGAACTTCTGTAATGCTGTGCTTGTGCTGTAAACACGCCAGAAACCAAATACGGCGAGCTGAAAACACATTATAAAACATTCAATCCCCAGAGAAGGGTATAAGTCAACTCCAGAACCTTTCTAAGAGCCACAAACAGCTCTTGACAGTGTATACATAAAGCGAGAGTGAAGCAAGGAGCCGGTGTAATAATTGAATGCTGGAGATGGATCAGACAAGCGCCTGTGCTGTTGACTTTAAAGCAGAAGTTGAAAGCTACGAATGCTTTCAAGTTCAAGCAGTGCTTAAAATTTCTCTTTCACTTCATTTCACACGTTTCATTATTCACATTAGCTGAAATCATACCCTTCACATTTTAATTGACGTGAAGGCACTCTAACAAGATTTATACGATTTACGAGTGTGTGATCATTGAAAATGTCCAAAATGCTCGGTTTCTGTGTTCATTTGCGATATTGAATGACTACTAATTTAAACTAGCCCTCCGTTTCCATGGATACTAACCAGATTAAGTCATATTTCATGATATGTGTGACTTGAATATGAGTTTCTGCCTTTCAAACCAAGACATCCCAGTGAAGTTTTGACGGACTGTGTGTGAAATACACAGCTGGAAAGTATTAAAACACATACTTACAGTAATAAATACTTAAGTACAAAGCTGAAGCTGCAAAATACGCCGCTTTTCAGGAAAGATCCATGAATTTGACGAGCTCCCCTCAGGTGGACGCCGTCTTCTGTCCGCTGAATCACCTCATCACTTTCTGTTAACAAGAAAATATGTCCTCACCGGCTTTGTAATGCCATTTATATGTTTGTTTTTAACAATAACATCAATATTATCACGCCACAAGCTTATCGTGAGGTAAACTTTAGTTACCTCAGGTAGTTCGCGCGGTTTCTCCGGACGCGGAGCCGCGCTGATTGTTTCAGTGACAAAATAATATAGCATAAGCATATATTTAAATACATTTTATTATTTCTAACATTGAGTATCTAAACATTAATGCAACACTTAACATTAAATTGAAAAAATAACTTATTTAAATAGCAATACAAATTAAAGACTTTGCAGCATCTTGACAGGAAATGTTCACTTAAATTTAACGTTACCTCACAGATGGAAAGTAGTAAGAAAAACGCACTTACTGTAATAATTTCTCATACATAAAATATATTAAAAATACACTTACTGTAATAATTACTGCCATGGAGAGCTGGAGCCGTAAAATATACCTCTTTTCGGGAAATATCCAGGAATTTCATGAGTTCCCTCAGGTGAACACGGTCTTCAGTCCGCCGAATTACCTCACTGCCTTCTGTTAACAAGAATTAGATGTCCTCACCGTGTAAATTTTGTAGTTTATAGGGTTATTTTTCAATTTAAAATACATATTATTCTGTCACAAACTTATCATGAGGTAAACTCAATGTTAATTACCTGACGCGCTTCCCGCCGATCCATCTGACGGGAGCGCGCGTCGTTGTTTCAGTGCGAAAATAATATAATTATATACATTTAATTATCTAAATATGTACTACATCGAGTATAGAAACAGTATTTCAGCATTTATCGTTAAATTTAACAAACGAAGTATTTAGACGTCAATAAAAAACCGAACAAGCGAGCAATGACACTGACACGGCCACACGGCAAATTTTTCACCTAACGTTAATTTCTTCACAGCTGGGAAGTATTAAAGCACACACTTACTGTAATAATTACCGTCGAACAAAGCTGGAGCCGGAAACCGGGTTCATTTAGCTACTTATTCGATAATATTTATTTTTCCAAACCAAAATATTTACCACAGAGCTTACGGTGAAGTAAACTCATAAGGTTATGGCTCACTTTACTTGAGGCGCTCACTTCGCGCTGATTCTCCGGCCGGAAGCTCTCTGTTCTTTCGGCGCGAAAATAATCTATTTATTTTTTAAATATTATTTTCACATTTAAATAAATCAGGAATTTAAAGTATTTCAGCAATTAACATTAAACGGAATAAAATAAATATTTAAATTGTAACAAAAATGAAACAATGACTTTCGCTGTAACGTATTAAATATTACATTTTAGCAAATTCTTAACTAATAATGATTTTCACTACTTGTTTAAATGTCTTTTAAAACGTGACAAAATGGTACAATGATGTCTTTAGTCATTTTTTATTATTATTATTATTTGTTTTATATATTTCTATAGGCTAAAGATTTCATGATTTTGTACTTCAATTTAAGTACACAAATAAAACATTTTCTTGTAAACAAAATTTAGTTTTTACTCATTTTATTTCAGTTCATTCTATTTTAGGCCTACTGCAAGGTTTTTGTTATCTATATTACCAGCCTGCCACAGTACAATGCAGATTGTTAATGATGGCTACAGAAATGAAATATAATATGCAAATATATAATATATATGAAATATGAAACCAATACACCTCAGAGGAAAACCACACCAACATGCAAACTTCACACAGAAATGCCAACTGACCCACCCGGGGCTCAAACCAGCAAACTTCTAGCTGTGAGGTGACATCGCTACTCACTGCGCCACCGTGCCGCCCTAATAAAAATATTAATTCATTCATTCATTTTCTTTTCGGCTTAGTCCCTTTAATTATCATCAGTAATAATTCATTTAACAATAATAATGATGTAGATATTCACGATTTTTCTAGCCTCTCTTGTAAAAAAAAAAAAAAAAAAAAATATATATATATATATATATATATATATATATATATATATATATATACACATTTAAAAATTCATGGATGACAAATAGCCAAATTAGTACTCAATTTAATTTTAATATGGTCTGCTTTTGGTGCTTCATGGTCATTTTTTGTTTCAAGAAAAAGGTCCAGAGACTTCCGGTATGCCTCGTGGAGACTAGACGCAGGTGGAAGTCACTCCGTGAACATTCGTGTATTTTTTCTATTAATCTCAGGTATCTTTGTCTTAAATATGTAAAATAAGCAACTCTCCATCACATCTAAATGTAAAAATGCCAAAACCGGGTAAATCAGGACGAAATATCGCTGAAATGTTGGCTGAAAGAGGAGGCGAGTAAGCCGTTGACGCCTCGCCGAGGGAGGATGAGCTAACACCTGCTTCTCTGAAGGAGATAATTACGACCACTATTCGCACGGAAGTGTCAACATTACGAACTGAATTCTTATCTGAGCTTCGTTCTGCCATGTCCACGCTGCAATCAACCCTTTCACTACAAGCTCAGAAGATTGTGGATATTGAAACCGCACTTAAGAAAAAGGTCCAAAATTTTGAATAAAAGTTGCTTGTAAAATGTTTTCTCAATTTAAAAACAATTCAGTAGCGAAAGTCAGATTATAAAATTAAAATATTTGTTAGCATTGACCCAAACCGATTAGCTGAAGTCCTGCCTAAGTGTCAGCCAAAGGATTCCGCTCGGTCATAAAGCCTTTCCATTCATTCGTTCATTCATTCATTTTCTTTTCGGCTTAGTCCCCTTATTAATCTGGGGTTGCCACAGCAGAATGAACCGCCAACTTATCCAGCACATTATTACGCAGCTGATGCCAGACGCAACCCATCCCTGGGAAACATCCACACACACTCATTCACACTCGTACACTACGGAGAATTTAGCTTGCCCAATTCACCTGTACTGCATTTGTTTGGACTGTGGGGGAAACCGGAGCACCCGGAGGACACCCAAGCGAACGCAGGGAGAACATGCAAACTCCACACAGAAACACCACAGACCCAGCCGAGGCTCGAATCAGCAACCTTCTTGGTGTGAGGCGACAGTATTACCTACTGCGCCACTGCGTCGCCCCATAAAGCCTTTTTTGATGGGTTGTTTTCACTATTTATGATGGCATCGCAGTCAAAATAGGACAAATGAGCTCATGTAGTGACAAATTCTGGACATGGTGAGGGGTGGGTCTTTTAAACCACCTGAACCCCCCCTGGCTACAGGCCAGTATGTAGCAGAATAACAATAAAGCTTGACTTGACTAATACAAAAATCTCTCTCTCTCTTTCCTCTGTGTAGGTTTCAGAAGTCACACGTCCTGCCCATAGCGATCTGAGTGGCTGTACCTGAGCGAGCTCACCATGGATACAATAAACTTCACCTTCTGGAATGCCTCAGACGGCAACGAGACCATGGAGACGGCGGACGAGAGTCCCTATAAGACAGTGGAGGTGGTGTTCATTGTACTGGTGGCCGGATCGCTGAGTCTGGTGACTGTGATCGGGAACATCCTAGTCATGCTCTCCATCAAGGTAAACCGGAGTCTGCAGACCGTCAACAACTACTTTCTGTTCAGCCTGGCCTGCGCTGACCTCATCATTGGCCTTTGCTCCATGAACTTATACACAGTCTATATTGTAATCGGATATTGGCCACTAGGCCCGGTTGTGTGTGATTTGTGGTTGGCGCTGGATTATGTGGTTAGCAATGCCTCAGTGATGAACTTGCTGATTATCAGCTTCGATAGGTACTTTTGTGTCACCAAGCCACTCAGCTACCCAGTCAAGAGGACCACGAAGATGGCAGGAATGATGATTGCAGCGGCATGGGTGCTGTCGTTCATCCTTTGGGCTCCAGCCATCCTGTTCTGGCAGTTTATCGTCGGCGGGCGCACGGTGCCAGAGAAGGAGTGCTACATTCAGTTCTTCTCCAATGCCGCGGTTACTTTTGGCACAGCCATCGCTGCTTTCTACCTGCCCGTCATCATCATGATGGTGCTCTACTGGCAGGTTTCCCGCGCCAGCAAGAGTCGTGTCAAGAAAGACAACCGCAAGCCATCAGGCGGCAACCTTGATGTAGCCTCGTCCAATCAGATCCGTGAAAACTCAGCCAACAAACCCACCAACAACAACCTGACAGCTGAAGAAACAGATCGAGGACAGACCCAGCTAACAGACGACACTATTAACCAGCACGATGCCAAGCTACAGAACGGCAAAGCGCCATCTACGGCGAGCGGGGAAGCGGAAGAAGCAGGACAAGCCAACTGCATTCCCGCAGAGGAGAAGGAAAGCTCTAATGACTCCACTTCAGGAAGTGGTGCAGTAACCAATCAAAAAGAAGAGGCGGCGCCACCCTCGTCAGCAGCAGCCAATGACAGCCAGACTTCAACAAGGCACCGCGCCAAAGCTGGCGGATCCAAACTAACATGCATCAAGATCATCACCAAATCACCAAAAGGAGATTGTTACGCGCCTTCAAATGCGACGGTGGAGATCGTGCCGGCAGTGGAAAGGCAGAACCACGTGGCGAGAAAGATCGTGAAGATGACCAAACAGCCGCCCAAAAAGAAAAAAGCCCCGTCCTCCAGGGAAAAGAAGGTGACGCGCACTATCATGGCCATCCTGGTGGCGTTCGTGGCTACTTGGACGCCTTACAACGTGATGGTGCTGATCAACACCTTCTGCTCCAGCTGCATCCCCAACACGGTGTGGACCATCGGATACTGGCTCTGCTACATCAACAGCACCATCAACCCGGCCTGCTACGCCCTGTGCAACATCACCTTCAAAAAGACCTTCAAACAGCTGCTGCTCTGCCAGTACAAGAACATTCGCTCCACCCGATGAGTGGCGGCGTATGTGTGTGAGTGTGTGCATGTGGTAGATTGTGTTCTGGTGACGCAGGTCTATGCGTGTGGATGTGTGAGCAATTATAAAACAGAGATTGGCCCATTGACATCATCACCTAAAGTTCTGCAAATACTCAAATTCTGGCGCTGCAAATCAGACTGCGGTACACACTTTACCATATCTAAAGGGATAGTTCATGCAATCATGTCATCATTTAGTCATCAATTCAATTCAAATGTATTTGTATAGTGCTTTTCACTATAATTCAGCTGCACAAAAGGTGCACATTACTGCATTACAATCAAAATCAGAAGAGTCTAAGTTGAGTTAAGTCACTCAGCCTTCACTGGTGTTAAACCTATTTGAGTTTCTACTTGATTTGAGCTTTGACATGGGCATGAGAATTAACAGAAATCTCACATGCTGAGAATGATATACAGTAGTCGACATTTGAAGTGAATCAAAAGTGTCTTTGACAATTGTCCTAGGACAAGAATGGGAGCTGTTCAATAGTTTAAGGACAATTTAGTTACACAGTAAAATCTTCAGAGTAAAATTTACTCAGTTCAGAGAACATTTGGTCCCTCTCTAAATTGAGTAAAATTTACTCAGCAGCAGAGTTAACGTTAATGAGACAATGATGGGGTTGATTAAGGGATGATTGAGGACTGATGATGAACACCCGCTGTTAATAAGCAGAAACAGAGAACAGAAACACAAAACTACATCTACCTTCAGTCATAGCCGTACATAAAATAAACTAAATAAAACACATCAAATCTCTCAAAATCTCAGCATAGGATCATTAAGGAACTCCACAAACAGCAGCTTTACTTATTAACAACCTGTTTGGTTTGGATCCTGTATTGATTGTAAGAATCAATACAGGATCAGTCAACTTGATCACTTGTTCTTTCTTTATACTTGTCATAGCAAGCACAGAAAAATTTACATTAGAAATCGAGTCCAAGGAAATCTACCACTTTTCTCCACGATGGTGACATCAGGGGAAAAAAGACATGTTTTTTTTTTTTTGTAAAATGTAAATAACTAAAACAGTTAATTCTCAATAAATCTCATATGGACTTTTGTGAACATCTGACAGAAATAAAGTCAATCAGGTAAGCAATGTGCAAAGCTGCTGCTGCTTCTCTTCTGTTTCTGCTTATTAACAGCAGGTGTTCATCATCAGTCCTCAATCATCCCTTAATCAACCCCATCATTGTCTCATTAACGTTAACTCTGCTGCTGAGTAAATTTTGCTCAATTTAGAAAGGGACCAAATGTTCTCTGAACTGACTAAATTTTACTCTGAGGATTTTACTTATTTTTAGGGGATTTTCCCCTTTAATTGGAAAGGACAGTAGAGATTGCAAACAGGAAAGTATTGGGAGCAGAGAGAGGGGAAGGGTCGGCAAATGGCCTTGAGTCGGGAATTGAACTCAGGTCACCATGAGCACCATGGTGCTATATGTCTGCACACTTAGGCCATTGTGCAGATGTTTAACCCTCTACGACATGCATTATGATAAATCTATTTTAAAATATATATTGAATGTTTTTCTTTTCTTAAAATGGCTTAACTTGAAGTGCCGTAAAAAAAAAACAATTTGGAAAATTGTATTAATTAAAGGTACTTTATGAAATAAAGTAACGTTCAACAGTGCATCTAACTGAGAAATTTCACATTTAAAACTTTCCTTATAATTAATAATTTTGTTGTTTGAAATGATTTAGTGAGGCAGTGGCGCAGTAGGTAGTGCTGTCGCCTCACAGCAAGAAGGTCGCTGGGTCTAACCTCGGCTCAGTTGGCGTTTCTGTGTGGAGTTTGCATGTTCTCCCTGCCTTCGTGTGGGTTTCCTCCAGGTGCTCCGGTTTCCCCCACAGTCCAAACACATGCGGTACAAGTGAATTGGGTAGGCTAAATTGTCCGTAGTGTATGAGTGTGTATGTATGTGTGTGTGTGGATGTTTCCCAGAGATGGGTTGTGGCTGGAAGGGCATCCGCTGCGTAAAACTTGCTGGATAAGTTGGCGGTTCATTCCACTGTGGCGACCCCAGATTAATAAAGGGACTAAGCCGCCAAAAAAATGAATGAATGAATATTGTAATATCATGTATACAACATACAGTAAATATAAATATTTTCTCCAGTAAATATTATTACAAATAAACAACAAGTCTAATAGATCCAGATACATCAGAACAGTGTAGCTACTTGCTAACAATGCTTATATATAGTATACTATACACTATACTACACTACACTGTTCCCTGTATTCATATCTATTCAAAAGTAGCATTGCCATTAAAAATAGATTTTGTCCATAATGCAAATGTCATTAACATACAAGTAATCAACATTATATTACTAGAATTCATGTTGTTATTGTTACAACTTAAAAGTTCACAGCTGACCTTGCTAGCTTGCTAACCCATTGCAATATTGCATGTTCCACTATTGCACATTTGGTAACACACACATTTGATCGATTTGCAAAAAACTAATTTGATAAAAACCTTTTTGAGTTGTGAATATGTCATCATATCTTACTGGAGGTGATGTCTCAGATTTTGTGTGTGGATCTGACATAATTTGATCCTTTGTTTTTATTGACGTTTACATTTGCATTCAGCAACTACTCATAATAAACTCTGCCAGAAATCGCGCTACAGAAAAACACAGCATGTCATGAGACTTAACCAAAGCTCATCTATGGCTCCTCTAAGGTCTTCTCTTTCCAACAAAAACAATAATGTTGGTCTTAAAGAAGCAGTGGCAGAGAAATGAACATAAGGATCATGTTGCCATATGGTGACACCGTGCAGTATAGGGTTAAGGACAATTCTGATGAAAGGTGATGATCCGCTTTTAATGTTGACTACTGTATATCACAGTATAGTAGCATTTCTGTAAATTCAATCAATTATACTCACATTTATTATGCTATCTTCTACTGCAGCTAAAGGAAAAGTCCAGTATATACTTTTAAATGTGCTCATATATATATATATATTTATCCCTTTATTTAGAACTCATGGGATAAATTAAAGATTTGGCAATATTCATTCATTCATTTTCTTGTCGGCTTAGTCCCTTTATTAATCCGGGGTCACCACAGCGGTATGAACCGCCAACTTATCCAGCAAGTTTTTACACAGCGGATGCCCTTCCAGCCGCAACCCATCTCTGGGAAACATCCACACACACACTCATACACTACGAACAATTTAGCCTACCCAGTTTACTTTTACCGCATGTGTTTGGACTGTGGGGGAAGCCGGAGCACCCGGAGGAAACCCACGCGAAGGCAGGGAGAACATGCAAACTCCACACAGAAATGCCAGCTGAGCTGAGGATCGAACCAGCGACCCAGCGACCTTCTTGCTGTGAGGCAACAGCACTACCTACTCCGCCACTGCCTCGCCGATTAAAATATTAAAATATTATTAAAATAAAAATTTTACTAACATGTAAAACACTTTTTAATAACTAGTACATGCAAATCCAACATAAAGTCTGATTCAAGATTTACCAATATTAAATTATCTAAATATCTAATTGCCAAATGTGAATGTTGTACTTTCAAGATTGCATCTTTCTCATGATGCTGTTATTTACGTTTCTGTCTGCATCCATGTAATGGCGTGTAATAATGCCAAATTCTGTAAATGTATTACAGGAAACACTCCGAGTGCTTCGGTTTCCCCCACAGCCCAAACACATGCTCTATAGGTGAATTGTGTGGGCTAAATTGTCCGTAGTGTAAGTGTGTAAATCAATGTGTATGGATGTTTCCCAGTGATGTGTTGCAACTGGAAGGGCATCCGCTGCGTAAAGCATATGCTGGATGAGTTGGCGGTTCATTCCGCTGTGGCAAACCTGATGAATAAAGGGCGTAAGCTGAAAATGAATAAATGAATTACAGTAAGCAATGTAGGGGTTCACAATCTTGGTCCTGCAAATTTTAGCTCCAACTCCAATCAGACACACCTGGGCTAGCAGATCAAGCTCTTACTAGGCTTTCTAGAAACATCCGTTCAGGTGTGTTGAGGCAAGTTGCAGCTAAAATCTCCAGACCTCCAGGACCGAGTTTGGAAACCCCTGCAACAGAGCATATTACAGAATGATTTATTTTCCTTCAGCCCCTTTATTCATCAGGGCTCGCAAGAAAGAACCGCCAACTTATCCAGCATACAGTATGTTTTACACAGCAGATGCAACCCAGTACTGAGAAACACCCATACACACTCATCCACTATGGCCAATTTACTGTAGTTCATCAATTCCCCTATAGCGCATGTGTTTGGACGTGTGGGGGAAACCGGAGCACACAGAGGAACATGCAACACAGAGAGAACATGCAAACTCCACACAGAAACGCCAACAGACCCAGACGGGGCTCAAACCAGCGAGCTTCTTGCTGTAAGGCAACAGTGCTAACCACTGAGTCACTGTGTAGCCTAATTCAAGAGGACAAACCTCATCCATATTGCACAGTCCTTCGATGAATGCTGATAACTAGTGCCTATTGACTTCCTAACTCAAGTCAACGGGTGCCAAGAACCAGCATTCTTCAAAACATCTTCCTCTGTGTTCAACAGAGCGCTGTTAAAGATCGATCATTTCATATTATGCTCTATTGTTTATTTCGCCTGTCACAAAACAGAAAAAAAGACACTCAAAAAGGTTTAAACCCACATGAGGAAGGGTAAATCATGAGGAAACGTTCATTTTTGAGTGAACTATCCCTTGTAATCAGAGTTTCCTCTATAATAAGTGCATAAAAGGTGACAGCGTGCTGTGTTTGGGTGGATGTATGACTGCATTAATTGTTTTTATATGATCTGTTGTAGCACTTTACACTCACAGAGGTGATGCATGTCACAAAACGGAGAAGGAGAAGTGCAGAAAGAGTTGATTTATAAACGTAATGTTTAAAAACACGAGCATATATATGACACGGATGGTCAGATTGGAGTCTGTGCTACTCAATAATACACAAATAAGGGGACAACAGGGCTGACTGAAGATCCAAACCAGATGCGTTTGAGCTTCAGTATAAAATCACACCTGTATATATATATGTGTGTATATAATAATGTATGTATATGTGTCGTGTGTGTGTGTGTGTTTGCATGCAGAATGACAGTGTGTGTGTGTTCAACAGGAAACCTGTTCACTTCTAGAATCAGAGTGTGCACTTGATTTCACACAATGTGCACTAGTGATTTGCAGCAAATAAGGTGTGTTAAGAACGTAAACAGGCTCGTGTTGACTTGTGAGCTTTATTCAATGAAAGCATGTAGGTATGGCTGGTTGCATGTGTGTTTGTCATGTGTGTGTGTGTGTGTGTGTGTGCTCTCCGAGAGCAATAAGAGGGTTGAAGAGGCTCTCCGGTGTGCCCGTATGTTAAAGTGAATGAGTTTTGAGTGCTCGGGGTCTCCAGGGATGCAAATCTAAACCTTTTAAAGTGAGCAGACGCGCAGGATAAAGAGCCTCTCACAGACACGCCGCCATTAGCATCCGCCTCACCTCTGCTTTGCATTTACACAAAACAGTTCACTCACGTTTGGGGGAAGAAAGG